AATACTTACAGGATTCAATTTTCATTGTACAATTTTGTGTATCATGTGGATATGTTTGAAATTTCATTGCACATGATAATAATAATGTCAATCTATGTGATATATATAAAAAAGGTAAAAATAGAAAGAATAAAAGAAAGAAAAATGAGATTTTTTTTCATGAAATCACGGGAGAAATGAATGAAGGAAAAAGAGAATAGAATTTTGAAGAGAAAGAATATTCTACCCTTTTCAAGGTGAGAATATTAATGTAGAGATAATATTTGAAAGAAAAATATGAAAAAGAATGAGATGAAGAGAGATATAACGATACATATCGATTCTATAGGGAAAAATATTGAATTGAACGAAAAAAAATAAGGGAATTAAAATATTGATGCGATGAATGAAATATGCAACCAAGGGAAAAAAGATGCAAAATGGAGAATTCAATCAATGAATAATGTCAAAATTTTTTCAATCTCTCTCCATTTGTTCGTTGGTTTTTTCAATAGCATCTCGTTTCCCTCGCACAAGTCAATGATGATGAGGCAAAATATGGAAAACAAAAATCAAATATGATTTTTTCCTTGGTAGAAAATGATTTGAATCGTTTTGGGAATATTTATTTATTTACTTACTTGACCATATACAGAATGGTATTATCCGAATAAAGCCTTTTGGTGTTTGTTTTGGTAGATTGAAAGAAAAAAACATCAAAAGTAAGTGTAATTGAATGGGAAAAAAATCGATTGAACATGTTTCAATCATAAAATTTGAATCAATTATTGATTAACCACACAATATTCGATATTTGGTTAATTGTTACTAAACTAAACACTTACCAAATATAATGATTAGGAATGGTCATTTCTTGAAAGGTCACTTCTTTTGCATTCTACATATATATTGGGGGGAGAAAGAAAACACAGAAAAATTGACAGAGAAAAATTCATTTGTTTTGTTGTTGATGGAAAAAAAGGTTTACCTTAAAAAATGAATCTGGTCTCCATATTTTATCAATAAATGTTAATGGTAATAAACGATATGGACCACGTGGATCATTACTTGTATTTACATTGAAAACAATATCATCCGGTATTATTAAACGATTGTCTTTCCATGATTGTGACATAAATATATCGGCTACATAAGTCTAATTTAAGTGATGATTTTGATCAATATTGATCAATCAAGATGAAAATCAGAACAAAAAAATCTTACCATTGAACCTTCATCAATAGAATCTAGGCCAAGAACCCAAACATGAAAACGTACTTTTGTTGGTTGTCCTATGGTAAAAGTCATTTTTATTCAAAAGAAAAAAAAGATATTATTAGGATTTTGATATTTTAAGTAAACCACCACCACCATCATAAGATGCTTTTCAAACAAAACAAAAATATCAAGGAGATTATTATTCTCAAAGATTTTAGACATTTTTTCTTCTCACTCATTCATGACTTATCTATCAATAACTACTACTATACAGAAGTAGAAATATGATAAACATTTTTTTTTTGATTGAGATTTATTCTGGAAAACACACTTAATATATCATCATCATCATAAAAGTATGATGATGATTTTTAATGGAAAATAAAGAAGAAAACAAAACCAAAGAGAGAGAGAGAGAGAG